CTTAATTGGTACAGTATTTATTTCTCTTAACGCAGTCCTGTAACTGTTGTATAGTTTGTGTCAAGAGGATGCATTTACTTAAATCCTGTTATCAGTGGTCTGTCACATTCATCGGAAACCATTTTGGGCTAAAATTTCTCATGTTGGTGTTCATTCCCAGAAGTGAATTTTATTTTGCTTAAATGTGAAGGAAACCTTTCAGCTGTTTTATATTAACAAACTATTTTTAAAAAAGAGAGAAGAAAATATTTTTTACTGCTAAATTCTCAGATGAGACTTCTGTGCCCAGATAAATGCCTTGGATGAGGAACTTCACACTTGGCAAGAATCAAATCCTTGTGGTGGAATAGTAACTTCATTACTTTAGTAGAATTTATATTCACATTTAATAAATTTGAACTTTAAAAAAATATAAACTTCTCTGCACTGAAGTGCTTTCACATTACATTTTACTGACAAGCGTGGTTCTCTTGGAGAAGTTCCAAATGTGCAATGTGTATCTAGGTATCTTTTACTGACTAGAAGTGGATTTACCAGAATTGAGAAGCAACTGATATATTGCTGTAATAAGAAGGTGCAGTTAACCCCCAGGCCAACTCCCTGCTCAGCTTCCTACATTTAACCTGGTGCTAGTATTTTGCACATTTTAAGTACTCGTGTTCATTTTCTAAAATTATTTTATATGCTATGCAGTTAGAAAACTTGGGTTCCAGTCATAGTTTCTCTCTGTGTGTATGATTTTAAGTTACCTAATCTTTCTCATTCTCCATTTTTTAATCTGAAGTGGGACTTACAAAGCCTTGTGGAGTTGTTGGAAGATTAGAGATGATCTACATAGAATACCTAATACTGGATCAGATACCCACAGAAGACTCTCAATTTATAATAAAGACTAGTATTACTATTATTATCCAAAATTTGATAGTTGTCTTTAAGTAATGAGAACCTTTACGATCTAAGACATTACCACTTTAATACCATACTTCTGTCAATTAAACAAGCTTTTGCTAAAAAGGAGTAATACAATATAGCAGAGAGAAGATTTAATTCAGGGACATAATTAAATATTTCCAAATCAATATTAGGTATTAAACAATTACAGGATATTTGGAAATAGTGGCAAATGTTTTTTGTTTTGGGTTTTTTGTTTTCGCTAAATATGCATTTAAGTCATCTTTTGCATGATATGCTTTTATCTCCGCCTAATACCAAAGATGCTTTGAAAACCATGTACGTATATACAGTTTAAAATACCTGCTAAAAGAGCTTATTTAAATGATCAAAGCAGGTATTTTTCTACTTTGTTAATTTTAGTAAATTACATCTCTAACCCCTTGGCATTTAAACAGAGCTTTTGGCAAGTTGAGGAATCTCCACACAGCTTCCATATGATCCTGTAATTCCATGCCTAGGTATTTCCCAAAGGACACAGAAACATTAATTCAAAAGGATAACTGCATCCCTATGTTTATAGCAGCACTATTTACAATCACCAAGCTATAGAAACAACCCAAATGCCCCAAAATAGATGACTGGATCAAGACATGGTACATATACACAATGGAATATTATTCAGCAATCAAAAAGATAAACTCATGCAATTTGCAGCAACATGGATGGAGCTGGAAGGGATCATGCTCGGAAAAAAATAAGAAAGAAAAAGAAAAATACCGGATGGTCTCACTCATAGCAGGAATTTAGAAAAACTAAATAAGGGACCAGGAAAAAGACTAATTACAATAAAGTAAAAATCAAAATCAACAAACAAGTATAAAACAGAGATGCACTGCAGGAGGGGAGGGGAGGAAGGAGTTGGATCAATACGGGGGAGAGGGGGGGTGGAAATAGTATGGGGAATATAACCAAGATGAAAATGCATACATTGTGCAAAAATGAAAAATGATGTAAAAAATATATAAAATTAAAAAAATAATAAAAGAAGAAAAAAATTTAAAAAATAAACAGAGCTTTTGTAAATTATCTCAGTTAATGATCTTAACTTTATGTACTGGTGTTTCCTGTATCCATTTGACAGTTGAGGAAACTTAAGACCTTGAAAAGATAAAAGACTTATACCAAAAAGAGCAAAGTCTCTAACCCAGCTCTTTAAACTCCTAATTCAGATTAAATCCATTACTCCTTTAGGGAGTTATGGTTAACAAAAGAAAATAAAATGAGGTGGAAAAGACAGTTTTCAGGTTTTAATGATTAACACCAGAATTCACTTTTTAAAAGCTGAAGTCATTGTATCTCCTGTGCTTTAAAACCTTCACTGGTTCCCCTTTGTTGCAAAGTTCAAAATTAGAAGGGATTTCTCTCATTTCCTGAAATTTCCCACATAAACCCAAAGTTTCAACCAAACAAAATCATTCGAAAATTTGTAAACATATGATATCTTTTCAAACCTCAGTGCCTTTGCCTGGTCTCCTCCACACATCCTTATGTAATTTTTACATTTGTTACACACTTGACTAAAAATTTATCAAATGCTTACATAATGCTCGCTGCGGGCTAGGAACTGTTAAGTGTTTCACAAATCTTAACTTGGTTAATCTTTATAACATCCCAGAAGATAGAGAATATCCTAACACACATCTTTAGACTCAGAAACCTGATATTTTTTAGCAATTATACCAAGAAGGGGTTTTTCTCTTGGAGGTATGCTTACAATGACTTGGCCCAGGAAATTAATGTTTTAAAATGGAATGCCATTTTATTAATTCACAATGAAAAATAGAACTGTGTATCCCATGAACCAAAATACCCATGTCAGCCTGCTCAGCACATTCTGCCTCTCAGCAATCATGAAAAAATCAGATCACCCTTGGCAAATTTCTTGGCCAACTGTGGCATCATGACAAGGGGTATTCCTGGGATGAGCAAAACAATCTTTGGCATCAGCTGGGTTAGCATGAGGCATCTATATCACGGCAGCAACTACCTTGCCATTGGCCCTTTGCCTGGGGCATTACTGGGCTGGGCACTGACAGCTATGCATCTCTGTTATTCTACTTTTTTACCATGATTCTGATGCCTGGCCAGCCCACCCTTTCTCTTGCTACATTCTGTTATTAATGCATATTCATGCGGTCAATATAGTTACAGTCAGGTCTTCAGACTTGAGACTTTTCTACCTCTTTAAGATAAATTTTGTGTGTGTTTGCAGATACCATTTTCTTTTGAATGGCATTCTCAAATACTATCAAGCTTATCTGTCCCTGAGTTACATGAGTGATTTTCCTAATAGCAAACAAGTCATATTCATTTTTCTTTGTAGCTTCATAAGTAAATGCATTGCCCAGCTTATAATAGGAACTTAATGGATAGTTGTTGAACAAAGACATGAATTAGAAGGCAGGTAATCATTGTGGTTCTGAATATAAGCTCTATAGTTAGCCAGATCACCTGGTTTCAAATGTCAGTGCTACTACTTAATAGTTGTCTTATTTTGGCAAATTACCTCATCTCCCTATGCTTCAGTTTTCTGAGTTGTATAATGGGTATTATGATAGTATCCTGTCTCCCAGGGTTTTTTGAGAAGATTTAATAAGTTAATACATATAAATAACAAGCTTAGAAAATTACCTATAATAGGATTCTGTAACTATTCAGTGTTAGTATAATCAATTAAATTTCATAAATAGAGCTTTATTTGCTTTTTACAAAGCATGACTGATTTTGAATAGAGCAGAAAACTTGTGTCATCATTGCATGTTTAATCAAAAATTGTTTTTGCTCACAAGAGTTCAGTAAAATGGAAACTCCCATGTGTTGCTGGTGGGAGTACATAATGGTACAATCTTAATGGAATGCAATTTGGCAATATTTACCAAGAGCCTTATAAAGCTCATTCCCTTTAGTCTTGTAATTCCCTTTTTAGAAATTTATCTATCGTAAAGATAGTCAGAAACTTGGATAAAATGTATGAATGAACATTGTTTATCACACTATATTTTATCAACTCCCAAATTTGGAAATTACTTCAGTGACCAGTAATGGAAAAAATGTTATACAAATTATGTTTTTTATGGAATATTATGTAGCTCTCAAAATGATATATTTACAGTTATCTTATGGTATGAGGAAATAGCTCCTCATTTTTTTCAGAGGAAAAAAATAAGGTATAAAACTGTATGTTTCTGAAAAGAAATTGGTTAAGTCAGAATGATAGTTTTGTTTTTAAATGAGATAACTACAGGGAACTTTTTTTCTACTTGGTAATCTTTCCCAAAACCTCTATACTGAGCAAGTATTTATTAGAAATGGACATAATTCTTTAATAATTGTGACTTCTCATATCCTTAGATCTATAATTTTAAAAAGAAATGTTGAGTATTAAGTGCAGTGCTTATCATATTCAAGATGTTTTTTTCCAATGAAATTCATCTTCAGTTTTATACCAGAAATAATTAAGATAGGATTCATTTTTTTAAATTTATTTATGCATACAAGACCTGGGGTACAGGCCAGAGGTGCCGGGGGCTGGGGGTGAGAGGATTCACCAGAGACAGAGTGGGGGGCAGAACAGACAGACTGACTGAAATACACTGCTGAGGGAAGCAGCGGGCAAGTCAGGAGAGGTCTGCTGTGCCATGTGGGTTGCTCCCTGGCCAGCCAGGGTTAGAACTCGTGCTGCAGAGGCTGTGGATTGCTTCATAGAGCTGTACTTAACCCCTTGTGCCACCAAGGAGGCCCCAAGATAGAATTCATTTAATATTAGTATTTTTCATAAATACTTGCTTTAATGTTTGTTTAAGCACTAGCAAAATGACTGCTTAGTTTCAGCTGCTATGGACAAATAAATTTATATGCACAACTACCTTAGGTCTGCTGAATTTAGTGTTTGATAGTAAATCCTTAAGAATACACACAGAACAAGAGAGGTTGTTATGATAGTATTAAGAGGAAATTAATGAGAGATGAGAACTTTTGTAAGGCAATAGCTCAAAGTTTGAGTCCTTTATAGATAGTAATGAGCTGTTTTTCTTTTTGTAACCTAGGAGCTGTGAAGGAAGAAATATCAGATATAGAACATGCAGTAATGTGGTAAGTATTGAGGTTCTGTGATTGTGATAATGTTTTTTAAGTGCTGAGTAATGCAGTTCTGTGTATCTTGAGCAAGAAATCAATCAACTAATATTTTACTAAGTTATTTATCTCATGAATCTTATGAAGCATTTAAAAATACAATTTTTTAATGTCCTTTCATTAAACTCTTAAGCATTTGTCCTATTTGAAACTAACTTGATTATTTCAAAACAGGGACTCTATATTTCCTCTCTAATTGCTGACTTTTCACTTCTAAGTCTCTTGAGAACAATTAACAGGGATGATAAGGGAAATCACTTGGAGGGTTGATGAATTAAAGATTAATCTGGGAGATTTGACAAGTCATTGATTCATCAAATACTATTCAGTGCCAACTATGTGTGAGGCACTGCACTAGTAGTATAGACAGCATGTGTCATTGTCAGAAGTGTCAAAACATCTGTAATATAGTAAGGAATGTAGAAAGAGAAGACAGATGTGTACCTAACCACACTCAAGGACAAAATATGTTGTATGTTGCAAGAAAGTGGTGGAATTCTTTGTGGATTAAAACAGATACAGCTGAGGGCCTCCCTGGTGGCGCAGCGGTTGAGTGCTGGGCTGCGAAGCTGCCCGCAGCCTCTGCAGCGCCAGTTCAATCCCTGGCCACTGGGCGAGGGTCCCACATGGCACACAGACCTCTCCTGCTGCCCGCTGCTCCCCTCAGCAGTGTACTTCATCAGTCTGCTGGCTCTGCTCTCCCCTCTGGCTCTGGTGAATTCTCTCACCCTCCAGTGCTTCTGACTGTACCCAGTGCTTGTATAAATAAATAAATAAATAAATCTTAAAAAAAAAAAAAAAAAAAAAACAGATACAGCTGAAAGGTCTTCATGGACAAGGTCATTAGAGGTAGGGCTAAGAGGACTAGGAGGGTTCTCACTGGCCCAGACTGGGTATGAGGGGTGACCATCAGTCCAAGTGGAGGAGACTAGACAACATTGGAACAGGGATGTTTAAGGTGTGTTCAAAACTAATTTGGGTAGGATTGTGTTCAGTACTCTGAAAGAAAATAATTTGAAGATATGTTTGAGTTATACCATAAGCAAATTTGAATGTTAGGTTTCCTATTTTATATTAGTCCAGTGAATGATGGAAGGGGTCACTACATATTTTAGAGAGTCTGGTAACATGGAGTGTCACTTCAGAAGACAAATACTATAGTGATATGAAGAATACACTAGAACAGAAAATAGATGGGGAACAAGAAGTAATGAGGGCTTAAATTGGGAGAAGATGATGCAAACGAGGTCCAAATTAAGATACCTGAAAAATTTAACAATTTGGAGTAATAGAATGAGGTGGGAGTAAAGAAAGACCCTTCTGTTACAATTCTTTTTTCAATATTTTATGACTGCTATTTTCCCTTTTCCTGTCTCAGGTCAAATGCTACCTCCTTAAAGAGGTTTTGGTGACCACTTTTTTTGATGCTTTTGTCCCACTGCCTAACCTCCTCCCTCACAAAGGTTCATAACACTTTGCTCTCATTGTAGCATTTAGAGCTACCAAAATTCATCTCATTTGATGAGTTGGATTTTTACCTCTGTTTCCCCACTCTAGTGTGCAAACGCTAAAGGATAGGAACTTCATCTTGTCCTGTGATTCCCAGAACTGGTGACTTATACATATTAAACACACAGTAGATTTCTTGAATATAAAATGGCATTTAAAAGAATAGGAATGTAAGTATAAGAACTTAGAAAGTTGGGAGATTTGGGAAAGGAAAATAGTAAATTTTATTTGGGAACAGTGTTAACTTTGACCTACAGGCTGGAATTGTAGATGGCATATTAAAGTAGGCAATGGGACTTAGATATTAAGAAAGAGATTAGGTCTCAAGTCATAGAAACACAAAGCAAAAAAAAAATAATTTTAAGATCTTTTAGCAGTTTGTTCGCTTGAGTTTATAAAATGATGAGAGAAGGGAACCTCCACAGTAGTGAATATCCGTATTCAGTAGAAAAAGAACACAGATAGAGATAAGCCATGAAAAGCACCCTGGGCCATATAGAAGAAGAAATAAGAAAATAATTCCTTAGATGTTAGGTAGGATAAATGTTACCAGGAGGTTGAAGTCTGAAACAAGGCCAATGGGGGAGCAGTTTCTATAGTATATTATATTAGTATATTATAAGATTTCAGGGGGTCAAGAGGTTTATTAATGATGGCATGGTATTAACAGAGTCACCCCATCATATGTGGAGTCACAGAAGGATAGACAGTGGTTTGCTTTCAATGAGAGATGCCTGAGAGATGAGTTTGACTTGAGGGAGAGATGAAGATATGTAAATATAAAGGTATACTTGATGCCACAAGGTCTCAAACAAAATAGTGGGTGACACAAAGAAGAGAACACTGGATGAACCAGAGAAACATACACTTCATTCTGAGAAGCAACTTGAGAAAGTATGGATGAGAATATAAAAAGATTTTAAAGAAGAGAAAAGTTGAATCTGCTCATGAAGAGGCTCAGGTTTCTCCATACAGAAGTTTTCTAGGTCATCTGCTGAAAGCAAAGGAAGTGTGGTGAACTTGGGAAAGTGAACATGAAGACCTTGAATAGCCATTGGGGAAAATGGGTGGAAGTTAGCAAAGCAGAATAAGAGAATGTTTGGGTAGTGAAGGTGGTTCACTGAAGCTAGAAAGCTTGATCTTACAGAGAACATGGTCCTCTGGGTGTTAGGACTTAGTCTGGCAATTCTGAGATGCACTGAAGCAGGAGCAGATAAAATAAAGATTGGGGAAACCCAGGGCAAGAATGCATATGAGATGAGAGAATCTAAATGAATAAAATGTATATTTTTTAAAATGCCTGACTAGGGAGATTAGAAGAAACTAGAAAGCATCATAATTGGGAGTAAGGGTAATTGTTCAATGGACAGTTTTTTCAAGTTCATTTCTCTATTTCCATCTAGGACACTAGGTACCACTTAAGCCCATTCATGTCATTGCCTTCTCCTCTACCACCACACACACACCCCTTACTCAACTTACATTGATTATTGACTGTTTTAGTAAATAGCATGAAAAAAATTTTTCAATGATAATATATTCTGATCATTTTTTCTTATTCTCCCTTTTATTACAATGGCATCTTATATATCAAGGGTTTTGTATGTTTACAATAATACACCCTGGCGTTGTTAAGGAATCTGCTTAATTTCCAATTCTTTTTTTCTAGCATTTAGAATAGTGGAAAGGGTTCAAACCATCTTAAGTAAGATAAATGCCTAAAGAATCACAAACATACGTCTGCCTACCCTTTCCTTAAAACTCTTCAGAAATAGTCCACAACTCCTCTGCTATCATTATGAGCATTTTTATGGACAGATGCAGCCGAAAACTCTGACTTAATATTACTTAAAACCCACTGTATTACATGAGCCAACTCTTTACAGATTGTAGAATCAAACTGACAGAGGTTTTTATGAGAACCTAGAGTCTTCAAATAATTTGAAGCTTTTTCCCCTGGCTTTTGACCATGACAGAAGCAACATTGTCAAAAAAATGAATATTAATTAAAAATATTGTAAGAAAAGATTTTTTCAAAATTACACTCCTGTTTTTTAAGCAAAGAAGTTCAGAATGATTCAGTTAAGTATTTCCCTTTCAGATACTAACTTTGGAAAAACTTGAGATTCTCTTGTTAGCTAAGACTACAGGGGTGCTCCTTAATCCTTAGACACCTAACTGGGGCTCTTGAACTTCTCCAAATAGTCACCCTTTTTTCTATTCTTTTGATGTGCTACATACAATGTTTCTTGTTCTTGAGGCTCAGGAATAGAAAAAACATCTCTTCAATTTCCTCATTTTTTTTGAAAAATCAAGAAAAGCCTACACTTTTATTTTTAAAATTTTTAAGGTTCCCTTGCTATCACTCCACTGACATATCAATATAAGAAATCCTACTGTAGACATCGTACCTTCTTATACTGTTTCTGTTGGTCAAAGCAGAATATTTTCATTCCTAAGGACATAGTTCATCTAACTCTTCCTATTTTATAGCCCCTCCTCCTCCCTAGGAAATTGGAAAGACACTCTCTTTGAAAAGAAAAATGAGGATACTGTTGAAAGAAATAATAGGTATAAACTAGCAAACCACTCAAATGGGTCATTTAGATCTAAGATCTTCCCTGATCACTTTGAAAAAGCTCTCCTTAAGTCACATCTTCATGTTTATTCAAATTCAACCTCAAATCTGAACCCTGTGATCTTAGACATTTTAAACTGACTTCCAAAGTGTTTAGACTAATGCTTGATTACTTGCAGACATCACTGTCTTCAGCTTCATCAGATTTTGAGACTTAGGAAACAGTGACCAAAATTAGCAGCCTAAAACGCTAGGGTGCCTATGAGGTACCTTGGTAGCTGGTGGCACTCTTAAGTTCTTTATTAAGATTGTAGTGCTCCACTGCAACATTTTATTGTTCTTTAAAATATCTGTGAGGTTAAAATTGGCAAACTACATTTCTGTTGTACTCAGTTCTTAGAGATCAGTCATGATGCCGGTGGGCAGAAATTTCCATCTTCTGAGGGATGATTGAAACAACTAAAAATGTCTTCAGAATACAGAAACAAAACAATATTCATTCTTTTCAAAAACAATAAGGGCAAGAATTGTTCTTGGTCCTGGGACACAATGAGGAGAAAGACCAAGACCACTTCTCCTGAAGCTTTCATTCTAATGAAGCAAGTTCAGTTGGAGACAAACATACAAATTATTTTTTTTAAGATTTATTTATTTATTTATACAAGCACTGGGTACAGTCAGAAGTGTGGGAGGGTGAGAGAATTCACCAGAGCCAGAGCAGGGAACAGAACAGGCAGACCGACAAAATACACTGCTAAGGGGAGCAGCGGGCAGCAGGAGAGGTCTGCGCGCCATGTGGGACTCTTGCCCTGCGGACGGGGATTGAACCAGCACTGTAGAGGCTGCGGGGATCTTCGCAACCCAGCGCTCA